CGTTACTAGTCTCTGTAAAGCATCTACTTTTATTAAGTTTCTTATTTAATTTAGCTAGTTTAGTTCTTGTTTTCTGTGTTTTAGACCATAAGTATCCCGAAGTGCTGGAACGGTTGTACGCTGTGAGAAATAAAGGGCAAAATTAACCCTTCTTAGTAGTGTTGTTTGTCCTACACACACACGAGCATAGTTTGAGTAAGCTTCCTGCTCCCATTCAGAATTAGTAAATGTTTCCAAAGGCAATTAAAAAGAACAGAAATCCTGACAAACCAAGTGCAACCGACATATATGTCAATCGGATACTTAAATCTAGTGATCGTAAGCGTATGGCAATTTAAATTTAAGTATTACTTTTCTAACCCGAATAAAACAACATAAACTGAAAGGATTGTTTCAAAGAGTATTTGCTGTGTGATATTTCTGAGCGTTAGGTCTAATACAATAAAAGTATATGTATAAACTTATATGTCAGTAATTTTGTAAAGCATAATAAGGTGCAATACTACAATATATTTATTTCAAAGTAATTTAAGTTTTTATGGAAAGGTAATTTAATAAAATTTGATATTTAGCTTAGTATTTTCAAGCTCTCCGTCGTAATTAATTAATATTTAAATTAATATTTATTTTTATACCAATATTTAGGATTTAGAGAAAATATATTGTCAACCAATTTGTATATGATAATTGTATAATCTGCATTGGTACTTAATCAGTTTTTTTTTTTATTTTGTTAATAGCAGAATCCGATAGGTAAATGGTTAATATTAGATATTTATGTGCATTACAGCTTCTACATTAAAGGAATAAATTGATCAAACTTCCTTAGAGTAATTTAGCGACTACTTTCAAATGATATTTTAAAACAAATTATTAAGCAACTTTTCTATATAATTCATTCAGATATTTGGTTCAAAAGCGTTTGAATGTTATTCGCTGATTAATCACGTAACTAAATTAAATTATATCTCAAAATAAAAGAGAGATAATTATTTCAAAGAGTTAAATACCAGCTTAACTCTTTGAAATCTTTCATTACATTTGGCGTAGCATACCACCTTAATCACATTTCTGATTTCATTCGCATAAACCGGTGTATAAAAATGAAGTTTAACACAGAAAATTCATCATTGTTTGTGATGCTTGGGCAAGAGAAATTTGAATTTTCTAAAGTTTGTCAGACACTTTACATGACCCTGAGACGTTGTACAGCAAATACATACACGCTATCAATAAAGGCATTCGCCGTATCTTGATTATTCTGACTGGAGTGAGTTAGAATGGTGTGGAGGTGGGATAAAACATTCTTTATGGGATCACTCAGAACCATTCGCTCACTGAACTGAACTGCTTTTATTTTGAAGCTCAACGCTCACTAAAAAATAAACTTGACAAACAGGATTGGAAACGCAGAGACGGCACAAAAGGAAAGATCGAAAACATTATGAAACTAAGGAAAACGAATTGTTAATAAACAACTAAAAAGTAAGGAAAAACAGACTTAAAAAATAACATAATCAACACCCCCGCAACAAACATAAAACAAGAACATCACTAAATAACTCAAATTAGAACCATCTTTCTATTTTCATTGATGAATTTCATTTCTCAAATACTTAAAAATTTTAGGATCATTATTTAAATAATTTGAAGTTTGTAACTCGAGGTCTCTTCTAATGAGAGCTGTCACAGAAAATCCATCACAAAGTAATTAATTTCCCCAACCTCCATACATAGATAACAAAAAATATTAGACTGAAAATGAAACCTGAATAGATAATGTGGAAATCTTCCATGACCAGAAAGAACGTCATTAAGAACCATATCATTAACAGTACGCATTTTACTCAAGATTTTAATTAAACGAATGAAATCTCTACTTCTTTAAAAGCTCAACAACAATTCTTTCCATTTTCCAACATATAATCTATTCATTCAAGTAAAAGCTAAACGTTTTGGATCACTTATGTCAATAATTGGCAATCCAGCCTGTAACACTTCCCCTTTTGCCAAAGAGTTGGCCCTCTGATTACCATAATATACAAAGCGGGCCTTCACTCAATGTTACATGTATATTCTCCAGACAGCATTTAACATCAGTAATAAACGAATTTGCATTGTCTGGGCGAGGGAGCGACAGAAACGGCGACAAGCAATTTGTATATACATTTATAGAGGCCAAATGATGAATAGTTTTCCTTATCCAAAGCAATATGTGATAAAATGCAACGCACTTTGTCTGAAACACAGAGTTAAAATTATTTAGTTTGAATTGCGCATAGTTTAATTCTACACGTAGTAATAGATGCCAAAAGCTGGAGAAAAAAAAAAAAAAAAAAAAAAAAAAAAAAAAACAATTCCAGAACCATACGCCTAAATAATTTTAGCATAGTCGAAAAGAATTGGTTGATGGATTAAGCAAGTGGATACTGAATTTCTCAACAACATGCTCAGTTACAATGTAGTCACCGCACATCCTCATATCTAGTCGCTCAGTTCTAAATAAAAACTTGTCAAAATAGAACTTATATATTAATGAGAGGTGTGGCAATCTAGCCAAGACACAATCAATCTTCATGGGGAATGTACTAAAGCATCGAGTCAACGCCAGTCCCCAAGTTCGCTATATGGAGTCCTCTCTCAATTTGACCAACTCCCGCACTCTGAATCTCCAGGTACCCATTCCATACATCGCGATTGGCATAACACATTCTTATAAATTATACGCAGTGTGGAGGATCTTTTTGCTAGCGCATCGGATGGGAAGTTTCTTTTATAATTTAATCTGCTAAGTATTCCATATTCGCTTGAGTGTAGATGGATGCTGATCAGTACAACGGGCGATATCAGGGAACGATAATCCCCACTCGCGATAGGCAACGAGCCTGCCTTTATCGCATTCCAACACTTGCTCTATTCCTATTATTCCAGACATAACACGATATTCTGAGCAAAGTCCGACCTTACAAAGCGCTTTCAGAATGAGAAATCTTATGACTTACTTTTTTCTGGTCATTAACTACTAAAGAGTTTTCGCCAGTAGATCGCATTAAAGTGCACTAGGCACTAGGCACTAAGAAGTTAATTTTTAATATTTTTTTCCTATTTATAGGCTACTCTTCGTCTTTCTGAAACAAGATTATTTGTTTAACTTTAGTTTTTCAATCTTAACTTCAATGTTTTAAAAAAAAAGTTTAAGACAATTCATTATATTTGGAAATGCTCAGGAATGAATCAAGCTTATTTTATCTTTGCACATGCAGAAAGGTTCTTTTGATACAAATTAAATAGTTATGAGTTATATTAAAATTATTAGAATAATTTTGAAAGGGTTTCATTTTTAACTGTATACTATTACTTCTCAGTGAAGAGAATTTTCATTCCCTTAAACAATAAAATAAAATGTTTCATATGGCTGTAGAAAACGATCGCTTTTGAGAGACACATTTCTAGGATTCTAGTTTAAATATTTTTATGAAAAATACAAATTTAAAGAGGTAATTTTTACATCACTTTAAGCGAAGCCTTTCTTACGACTATCAAACCAAAGATATATTACTCGGTTATCAGAAGTGCATATTCTACTGCAATATCCATTCAAGTATTAGCTTAATCGTATTCGAAATTTAGTACTATCTTTTATTAATTCATGTTTAATCAAGAAAAAACGAATAACGATCATAAGCAAAAGCCAATCACGGAGAGGGTGTGTCCTAATAAATTGCCCTAGCTTTATATCGTCTGCGCCTTTTCATTCTAGTTCGTGCAGAGTTGGGTGTATCTGAAGAATCGATACGCAAAGATCACCCCTTAAGCGCTTCAAAGATAAGACGAAAAGTAGTATAAAGGATATAAGGTGTTTCCCACACCCTCAGAAGTACTCTTATTTTCCAGTTCAAATCACGCACTAAGTGCCAAATTATTGACTGGGTAGCGAATGCTACATTATGTTCATTTTTTGGCATCAGTCCAGATGATACTTTTTCTTGCTGTATCCTTTCGTGATACTAAGCAGATTCAACTATGTGTGTAAAGGAATGGTTGCAATAAACATCGCATTAAAGAGAAAGTAATAAATTAAACTAAAGTAGAAAATAGTTCAATTCGGCTCAAACATGGCCAAAAATGTTTTTTAAATGCGCTAATTGATCCTTTTAGATTTTAGTATTTAAGGAATGAAGTAGAATGCCGAGTTATGAGTTCATGAAGAAAGATTAGAATATGTTAATAGGTTAAGGTGAACAAATCCTGAATTATAATACGTAAGTGTATGTGTGATTGATAATAATATATATGCGTTTTGAATTTAAATTTACATGACAAAATATCATGCATATTTAATTATAAAATATTAATTCCATTAAGTCATTCCCTTTGTGCAATACAATAAATACTTCATCAGAGAATTTCTTACACATTAAATGCCATTTCAACATTCCCTTATTTTTATACGTCCTATCTTTTGCCTTATATATTAAAATACATTTTTATGCTTTAGAGAATTCTCTTGTAATGGTCGAGAATTTTGCTTATGATCAATTCGTAATGCTATTTAAATTACATATACTTTTGCAAATGTTTCCTGAATTTAACCTCGCAGGAAGTGTGCGCATTCACTGTTTTCGATATATTTGAGATAAATCTATAAATCTATATTTGCTTATATTTAGGGAAAATATGTAAAACAATTATACAGCGTTTACTGTGTAGACCCTTCAGGTATTTTTTTTAGAATCATAAAACGTGAAAAATGAGCTATGCCCTCGCCGGGACTCGAACGTGGACCTCTCCAATACGCGCCGAGTTTGCTAACCGTTACAACACGATGACATGCTGGATAGAGAGGAGAAATACTCTCCCTTTTGAAAAGCAACTGGGGATTAGAGGACCTAGTCGCCGAATCCTAGTGGTGAAGAATCATCAGCCACCAGCTTTTAGTTCGGGCGCCACTATACAGTCATTAGGTTATTTTGAAGCAGGATTCGATGAAAAATGAGCAATGCCTTCGCCGGGAATTGAACCTGGACCTCTCGAATATGCGCCGAGTGTGCTGACCTCTACACCACGAAGGCATGCAGAAAGGAGGAAGAAAATACCTTATAACAATGGAATGTGGCCCCCAGTTGCCTTTAGATAGTTTTCTCTAGATAATGGTGGACGTGATGCTGTGCTGATTCACCGCTATGATAAAAGGACAGTGCCCGCGTCCCCGTCACTTGTACCTTTGGTTTTCTTAATTCAGAATATAAGAACTATTTTTATTCTAACCAATTATTTATTTATTTATTTTTCTTTCCCTCCTGATTTCAGTTTCCTGCCGGAATATAAATTTGTAATGACGTAGATGCTAATCTTAACGTGTTTCTGAAGCACTATTTAAGCTGCGTAGCATTCAGTGTATGTAGAAGACGAAGTACTGAATTCTTGCTATGTCTTGAAGAATGAATACTGCAGAAGGAGGTTTTAAACAATCTTTTATTTTAGCTAAAATAAAGAGATGCACGCACTTTCTCCTCACAGTTCACCACCACTTGTAGCGAACTTAATTATAACAGAAAATAAGAATGCAACAAATCGCTAATAAATTTAAAGGAATAACGACTGGCTTCTTAGCTTACGGGGACAGTGGACGTTCAAATACTTTTTTTAATTACTGTCATAGAGTTATGAAATTTTGAATGCATGTATATTTTACTATAATTATATCAAATATCTCTGAAAAAAATTTCTGGATCATTACAATTTAATTTTTTTTAAATGTCTTTTGAATTTTTTAAAAATTTTTCAAAATGCTCCATGAGACTTTTTTTCTGTATCTTGTTATTTTTGCTTTATTTTTATTGAAAATGCATTCCAAACGCAATTTAGTGTTAATAAGTGAATTGCATAAAATGTTAGTTTTTAATTAATATTTCTTTCACATATACCTAAATTTTGGACAAAATTTCTCACTTTAATACCCTTTAATTGGACTTTTATCCCTTTAATGAATTCGCATTCAAAAATGCATACTAAGTTTTATTAAATGTATAAATGGGAATCTAAATTACAAATTACAGTTATTTTGAATATAAAATAAAGCGCATGGAGTATTTTGAAGATGTAATAATCGAGAAAATTTCCTTATAAGAAAAAATACATTTTAAAAACATTTTACGCTTATATTTACATCTCAGTATGTCCCAATATGTGATTTTATTTAATATAAAATATTTTAACATTGTTTTACGTATGCATAAATATTTTTTATTCTAATAAAATCGTGGAATAGTAAGAAATACTTAATATTACTCGTATTTTAGAAATTTTCTCGAACACCTTTCAGTAAATTCAACCAACTAGTTTTTTTAAACTGAGAATCACTTTAAAAACGTCCTGCACCATATGTTTCCACTTCCTTATTTACATTTTCATTATGTTTACCTACTTTACACAGTTTTTTTTTTTTTTTTTTTTTTTTTTTTTTTATTGTAAGTCTTCTTTTCTTGTATCCAGTCGAACCCCTCTTTTTGCTTTGATGTATACGACGTTTATCTTACATCTGTCCAATAGATATTGAACATGAATTTATACCTTTCTGTTCCATACCTAAAGTATTTAAACACTCAAAATTGAAGTCCCTAATTTTTGTGATAACAGCTATTTCGGGTCTGTTTTCAATACAAATGTTTCCTTCGGGCAGTTCTTCCAAATGACGCTATGTGAACTCTTGTTAGTGTTTTGTATTTTTCCAGATATGCATCATACTAAAAGCTGATTACTGGCTATTCATTGATACATTGACAGTATTTTGGATAAAACATTTACTGTTGATTTGTTTTTCATCATTGAATGAGATTTAGGTTTCGTAGTTTTAGCAATGCTACACTTAAAAAAATGATATGACATCTGTTGGGTATTTATAATATCTGGGTAAGTCATCCGTGAAACAAACTTGCATAAATTGCACTCTTCATAATCTTACCCATTTATATCTTGCTAACAGTAAAACATATTGTCGCGGAAATTAAAATAATGTTTCTCAAATATACCTTTTTATTGGCATTTAAATGTCACAAAAATGATAAACAGGCGTATTCAAATGCGTATAACTTCTTTAAAAATAATTTTCCATACAAGCGGTTTTTTGTAGACGATAGAGTTAAAACCATAGAATATTATCATATGAAACTTTTATTTCCCAATTTTTGGTCGATTTTTGCTAAAATCGTAGTCCACTGTCCGTCTTCCACTATTAACTAAATGCTAAATCGACTGCACACAATAAAGCGAGCCTAGAAAATATCAGTATAAACTGAAAGGTGTCTTAACACCGATTAGAGAGCTAAATTCAAACACGCAGCACATACTCGGAACTAAGTCCGCTACTACGTCTCACGAACTGAAACGCAGCTTAAATACTGCTTCAGAAACACGTTTAGATTAGCATTTACGTCATTACAAATTTACATTCCGGCAGGAAACTGAAATCAGGAGGGAAAGAAAAGTAAAACTAAAAATAATTGGTTAGAATAAAAAAATAAGTCCTTACAATACTAATCGTATTTCAATGTTGCTGTCTCTATCTTTAATTTCTTTTCACATAAATACAATTTGCCTTAAATAGATATTCTCAATTTTCAGAGAAACAAAATAAAGCAGTTCTGGAAACCATCTACCAAATCATATACCTTAGAAAAGAATGTATAAAATAAAACCAATATGATGAAACTGAAGCATTATAAGACATCTAGGGTTAATTTGTTATTGTTAATATAAGAAATACAATATTTCTACCTCATGCATTGTTCAGAATATACCGTTATATCGAATTATCTTTGAAACTGCTGCGGATCATTATAGCTATTATTTGGGCAAATTAAGTCAATCATTGGCTCTAAAAATTTTAGTAGTGGGAGAACTATTATGTCCTAAAACTAAACATTTTGAAACGAAAACAAAGGGGAAAATATAACTGCAAAATTCTATAGTCCCAGAAGTCTGGAAACAAATGTATACTGTGCTCGTAAATTTTTTTCACGGGTAAAAAGACAGCTGATAGTATTCATCAAAACAAAACGTATTTACAATAGATACTAAAGCTCTATTTCATTTTAAGTGTCAAAAATGAATAATTTCAAAGAACCCCTAACGAATATAAGACACTATTCCTGATGTCATGCATGTTCTGACTCAGAGTATCACAGTCTAGAATTTAGTGTAAAGTTTCATTCATTAATATGCAGCATTTTCATTTGTAGTTGATTGGCTCATCAAGGTTCAATCAAAAGCTAGGCGAAGCAAATATTAAAGCATCTCATTCCTAATGTCTAATCACGATTGTCAAAATCATAATATCACCCGAAACTACTGAAGGCATAAGGGAGATTATATCTGCGATGAACTGGTAGGTTTTGTCTTTTCTTGTTGAATTTCTTGTTGTCTTTTCTTGTTGTTGTTTCTTGTTTTCTTGTTGAAGTTGAAATTTCAATTTGGTTATGCTTTTCTGACAATGTGAGTGCAATGCGTCCATAGGTTCCATTATAAATATTAATGCTCTTAGTGGGTACAATCACCCCTCTTTTTTTAAGCTGTTTATAAACACCTTGTATATGACCTCATTGCAATGGTGGTTTCCTCTTCCAAGCACCTAGTTACATGTTGCCTATATTTCTTCATAATTAATTTTTCAATTCCTTGAAACTTAGTTCGTGACTCTAAATTTTGGTGGACATTCATTTGATTCAGATGAATTTTTTAATCTAATAAATATAATATATGCGAATGAGAAGCTAATAAATATTGCAGTTTCGCAGCAAACATCTCACTTTGAATAAAAGCACGTATTTTCTTCCCCACTAAGAAATATAAATGAAACTAACTACTAATTAATAACTTGATTTAAGGCAGTCAATTTAAATACACACTTCTTAAACAAAATTAAAAAAATATCATTTAGGCAGTAAGATTTTAGCAAATGGTCTCTGTGATAATATTTTCGAACAGTTTTAATAACAGATATTCTTTACTTCGACACAAATCACGTCAAGAAACTTTGTGGGTGTCAAGAAAAGAAGTACAGTTTCGCGAAGATCAAAATTAGATTCATAATTGGTTTATTAATAATTGGCAAATATTTGACATATTCAAATGAAACTATTTCAGTGCCTTTTGAGAAAGAATCATTTGCCAGTTATTCAGAATGCATCTGTATCACTCCTAATTGATTTGTTGAAATATTCCACGAGAGGGGAATAATAGTTTTTTTTTCCCTTTGGGTTTATGATTGATTGTAGAACGTAAAAAAAATGCATTACATCGCGATGCATATGGATCAAGTTCTAATAATAAGTGTGGAACTCGTAATTTTATTGATAGGAGAATAAACGGCCCGAAAGTTAAATTTCTGTAAAATACCTGTAATTTCATAGCTAATTGATGGAAAGAATGGAATGACAACAGCATTCTTATAATCTCCTAATACAAGAGTGTACCATTTGTTGTGTTGAGATGAGAATTTTTTAACTGCTTGATTAATAATGTTGGGTGAAAGGTCCCTGTCAATAGCTGATTTTAAATAATTTAGTTCTTGATCAAGAGCCAGTTTGCAGGAGCAAACGTTAAGTGCACGGAAAACAAAGGAATAAAATGAAGCTAACTTTTGTTTAGTCTATGTTTTGTTTAGTCTAACTTTTGTTTAGTATATGATTTGAAGTGTGGTGAAAGGTAAACCGTTGAGGGTTTACAGTAAACCGTAGTACATACGTTGGATGTGTTACGTCTAACCAAAACGTTGAGCAGCTAAAGAGAATTGTATGTCTGAAGTTCAAAAGTGAACTGAATAGCAGGATCAATGGAATTTATCATTGAAAGAACTCTCTTTAAATCAACTTTATTACCGTCAAACAGGGTAAAAGTATTGTCTACGTAGCGAAACCATACCGGGACGTTTAAAGTTTCAAATAATTTTGATTCGTAATAATGCATGTAGATATCAGCCAGGATGGGACTAAGAGAGCTTCCCAAGGCTAATCCTTTAGTTTGCTTGTAATACTTATTTTGGAAAACAAATGCATTAGTTTTGAACAGAGCT